GTATGATTTACATAATTCAAATCATCGAGTCTCAACCCAATCTTTTAACTCATAGGAAGCTGTCAAATTAGTCACTCAAAAAACAGTAAAACTCGATGTTTCGACTATCCTTCTTAGCGCAGTGGTACCTGTTTTAATTCACGAATTTTAAAATGTATATCAGGACACCTTTAGTGATTTGATAATTTGTTTGCCCTCTAAAGGCCCGGTATTTCGTCTATGGATCGATCCTTTTTACAAAGATGTGTGAGAAAATTTTAAAACTCTTGCTATTTAATTTTTTTTATCGACTTAGGTCAGTCGCGGCCGTGATTCGAACACACGATCTTCCGATCATGGAGCGAGCTCTCTACTGATTGAGCTACCGTGACGGCTCATTGATAAAAAAAGGGGAAATCGTACTCTGAGAAAGAAAGAAAGAGGGGGAAATCTGGCTTTAGAGTGAGATTTTCCCTCGGAGGGAAATCCTACTCTAGAGTACAGATTCCGAGGTATTGGGGAAATCCTACTCTTCAACACCGGTAATGGTTGGACTATTGTACGTAATTATTACTCTTCAAAATATGATCAGCGTCGTTTGAAAATATTTGACCATCATGTAATTTAAAGAATTGGAGGGATCTACAAATCTTAGTGCGAAGTACAAATCAAATTAGTACAAAGGCTTTAGACATGTTTCAAATAAAGTTAATGTTTTTAATAGATTTCAACTGTTTCTCTTTGCCTATACAAACTTATTTATAACATATAAAGGGGCTGGGACACAGATTTGAAGCTCATATTTTCTTAATTTTTCTAAACAATATCATTACTTATATGTGCTAGAGCATTTTACACCGAAATATATTCAAAGTGTGTTAAAAAATTCTTTTATCTGGAAATTATTTAAACCACGATTTTCGGGACCCGTTTGATTGACACATATCCTTGCACTTTCACAAAGTAAACTTTATCCATAATAATTGAGAAAAGTAGAAATTTTGTTGTATATTGATGAAAGATATATATGAAAACTGTAATCCAAGTTCAGAGTAGAATTGCGAGAAAGCAAAACCAACTCACCAGTATTGTCAGTCCGTGGTCAGTGATGTGTGCAAACTAAACAAATTGAACACACCCGATATAACGTAAACACTAACAACAACAGAGCTCGTGCCCTGTTTACAAACACAGGGGTTTGACGTGATGTTATGAAGAATGCCGCTGTCATTGAATTCTTAGAATATTCATGAAATATGAAGATAACAAACAGTATTCAATCTCCAAAGTCCAATGAAACGATAACATTTGGAGCAGAGCAAACACGAGTTTGAACACTGTTCGTTATCTCCATATTTTATTTTAAGACTTAGTATCTGTGATTTGAACAGCAAGCAGAATCTGAAGAAATCCATAATTGTCTCAGATACACCAGGGAGACCATGGTCCATTGTATCTAGAAACCTGTTTGAATACAGAAAAGGATACCATGTCATCATTATTTATCAGTACTCTGAATGCCTGAAGATAGACTCGAAAATACTTCCAGAGCCGACCCTATAACTCACACACAGAGCCAATTCATCAAATATGGTTTTTCCATACAAGTCCCGATTTATGCTTTTATTTTAAAAGATGTTTATTCTCTACAAACTAAGATTTAAATGCCAAATCCTCTGATTTCTGTACCATTTTCGATAAAACAAACTATTATTTATAAAATTGTAACAGTACAAACGCTGACCACAGTTAAGAAGTAAAGGATTCATCAACTTTGCAAGAAACTAGATAGATTTCTTCACAAGACCAGCAGTCTACAATTAGCACAGAATAATGGAGAAGGAGAAAGCAGCGTTTAAAATGTAAAATAATCTTCCTAAAAGTGTAAGGACTCATATAAAGCATTGACAGACAAACTAACAGCGGAAATATTTCCGCTCATTGCCAATATACAAAGAATGAGACTCAAAACCCGGAAATGGCAGGGGTAAATCAACTTCACAAGTACATGTATGTTAGAAAACACCACTCAGGGACTTATCCCAGGACGAAAAGTCGAATACCGTCATGCAACAGTGGAAGAAAATTCCACAGAAATAGAAAACACATTCGCCCCACAAAATCACAAGTCGATGACTCAGAACTATGTCACAGGAAGGTAATCGGGAAGAAGACTTAGTGTCAGATACAAGCTTACTGACTGAGTTTTTAGCTCACCTCTACGAAGTTGGGGGAGCTTATGTAATACCCTCGGCGTCGGCGTCCCAGGTTTCAGATGCTGCAATTTCAGCTAAAGAATGACCAGGTTAATGTTTTTGGAGCAGGTTAAAGTTTTTGGAGCAGGTCTCATTTCCAAGTGACTATAGGTCCTATATTGACCAAACTTGCATGGATGATGCATCTAAGGATGCACACTACTAGACTTGCTTCGAATGCTGGATCTGACCTACATTTTCCGGATGAGTGACCAGGTTAAAGTGTTTGGAGCAGAAGTCATTTCCAAGTAACTATAAACCCTATATTGACCAAACATGCATGGATGATACATCTAAGGATACACACTACTGGACTTGCTTCGGATGCTTGATTTGACCTACATTTACCGGATGAGTGACCAGGTTAATGTTTTTGGAGCATATCTCATTTCCAAGTAACTATATGGCCTATCTGAACCAAACTTGCATGGATGATGCATCAAGGGACGAACGCTCTCAAACGCTGGATTTGACTTACATTTTCTGGATGAGTGACTAGTTTAAAGTTTTTTAGATAAGTCCATTCCCAAGTATGTGCAAGCCCTATCAGACCAAAATTGCATAAATGTTGCATCTAGGGATGCACACTACTAGATTATTAGTTTAGTGTGGGATTTTGCCTTACTTAAAGACAACATTCGTTGAGGTGAGCTCTGTAATCTCTGATTACCTATGTTTATACAATAAAGTGTTGCATCTAGGGATGCACACTACTAGATTATTAGTTTAGTGTGGGACTTTGCCTTACTTAAAGACAACATTCGTTGAGGTGAGCTCTGTAATCTCTGATTACCTATGTTTATACAATAAAGTTAAAGATTATGAACTTTACAATCGCCCTGACCTTGTTCATATGACTTCGATCCTGACTGTTACACACAAGTTTACGGTTATTTGCTGTTACAGTTGAAAACAGATGGACATACCAACAAAAAGATGTCCCTCTGTTATTAGAATTCAGATAATCGTGATATGAGGAAAACAAACATATAGAAGTCATAAATTAACAAACTCCTTATCATGTCAAATATTTGTTAGACTTTATGGATGTCCATTTACAAAATATGCCTTTAGAGTATTGTTTGTTTGATTGTTTTATGTCCATTGCGAGATTTTTTCACTTATATGGAAAGTCGCCATATAGCGGTGAAGGGCTATACTTGGCACTCAGGGTCATTTAGGAGTATAGGTACTTTATCGTGCCAACGCCCACCATGACACGGGACCTCGATTTTTTTAGCTTTTATCCGAAAGACCTCTAGTACCGAGCGCTTGGCGAAGAAACAGTCACTAAAAAAGTTCACGTCTTACGTTTGAGGCGACGCCCATAATGAGAATCGAACCCGGTACCGACCTGTCACGAAGCGCCCTTTCTTCCACTAGGCTACTGCGACTAGTAACTAACAATATTCTTTGTAATAATGCGTAGATCTGGAAAGTTTAAACATTTTTTTTAATTTGCAATCAATTGATAAGCAAGGAATCGGCTACAAAGAAATTCCTTCCATCTCAAATATCACTCACCGATTTTGACTTCAAACACGTCCGTCAAGTCCCGCCATAGAAGAAAATGATTTCATTTTGATTACAAAATACTAAATGATTTCATAATTGGAAATTCAAAACATCATCGTTCACAAAATGACTATAATTTCATTCTTATTATTAATATTGTTTTATCTGCATTAACCCAACAAAGATGATTCAAATACTTACATCAAATAATTTTACTGAACTTATTTTTATACCTTAACATTTGTCTTTCAAGGAAGGTGCAACGTAATATTTAATTTTATCGACGTATCCCCTTTATTGGTAAAATAAACAATTTTTCTGTTGAATAGTTAAGAATTGCTTCAAGAGCTACATAATAAAAAGTTATTATTTTTTCTGGCCTGAAACACTAATTTTAATACTCTATTATAGCTTTCATATTAGCTGTCAACACATAGGCTGCAATCAAATACATTTTCAAATGAGGTTGAAAATTCTTTTTTTTTTTTTTTTTTTTTTTTTTTTTTTTTTTTAAAAATAAATTTTGACATCTTGTGGAGAAGCGAAAGAGAGAAAGAGATCTGGAAAATAATTTTTGTATTTCCGGAAGAATTTAAAAAAAAATTCTTTTACCCTAAACCTGCTAGTTAAAAGAATGGTTTATAAATTTATGCATGTTGTTAAAATAAGTGTGTGTTGAGTGCCATGCATCACTCTTTCATTGTGAGCAATGGTGCAAGTATTCGTAATTAGATTCCAAACAACTTCCGGAAATGTATCATTGTTTCTATTTTTAGCAATAAAAGAAAATTAACTTTATTCACTGTGTTCTTTTATATGCCTTTGCAAGGAAATAAATCTTAATTGTATATCAAATTTTTCATGGGTTTTTCAAATGCTTACCTAACCATACTCGGAATAGAAACATGTTAATTTGTTTAAGTTACGGCTTTGTGTTTTTTTTTCGTTGAGGTTGAGTAGTTTCCTTTTCATGCCGTTTTAAATGAATTGGAGAAACTTCCTTCTCTGCAACCATAATCTGATATTTGGATAACACTAGTATTTCAATCGGAAATATCACCTTACCCTGGGATATTACTGAGGTAAATATTTAGTTAAAATTGTTCATTTTGATTCTGGCATCTGATATAGCATTCTAAAATATAACCCTTTATCTTCATTTATAGAATCTGCTTATCTTGGTAAAGTATTCCATCTTCATCGACAGGTGTAAGTTCCTCTGAGGAAAAATATTCATATTGTTAACGAAGAATGGGATTTCCATTTTTCATTGCTTGTGTTTTATTGCTGACAGTCGTTAGCACCTCAGCTTCCAACAACTGTTCCTCTGTTGATTGTTATTGTACCGATATTGGAGATGGAACGTGGGCTGCAGACTGCTCCAAAAGAAATTTAAATTCCATGCCAATATTTCAGATGAATGTTTCAAAAATAGACCTAAGCCACAACAATTTAGAGGAAGTTGGTATTACTCCCCCATTGCCTTTGCTTCTTAAGGAATTGAATATATACAAAAATAATCTGACATCAATATCCGCCACCGTTTTCCAGAATCTCACCTACATGGAAGATCTGAATTTAGCTGAGAATAACTTGTGGTGGGACGATTCACCAAAACTGTCATTTATTAATAACTTGTCAAACCTGAGAAGTCTGAATATTCTAAGCAATACTTACTCCAAAAGTAATGTATCATATCCTTTCCAATCATTTAAAAACCTGGAGAAACTAGAGTCTTTAAAGATAGATGGTCTTTTACAGGGAGATTTTAAGCAAAGAGAATGGAACTTAACCAGTTTGACAAGACTCTCCGTCTCAGGGAAAATAGGAAAATGTTATTTCGAAAAACTTGAAGAAGGTTTCTTTGGAGGTTTACCAAACTTAAAATATTTAGTTGTAACCGGATGTCCGATTCGTACAATAGACAGGGGTGTGTTTAGTTCTCTTCATTGGCTACACACCCTTGATCTGTCAAACAATGAATTCATGACATTTGCTGTACTAGAAAATGTATCATACGATCTACAATTTACAAATGTTCAAAACTTACACGCTAAGAAAATACACTGCAGGTTTGGGCTTGGAACGTACCTATCCGTTAAGCAGATTTTTCACTTTCAAAACACATCAATCAAACATCTTGACTTATCAAGTAATCGTATGGAGATGATGGACACAGATGTTCCCAAGTATTTTCCTCCGAACATGACCTTCCTGAATATCTCCGACAATCACCTTACATGGGGAATGTACATGCTAACATATCAATTCCTCACACATCTTAAAGTTGCAGATTTCAGTAAGCAAAATTCGGACAAATCCGAGAATCTTCCTTGGTGGATTTGTGAAAATTCTATTGATTGTACTTATATAAATGACAGAAATTTGGACATTCAAAGTGGTCTCTGGAGTGATATTAGTACCCCATTCCCCTCTCAGTCAGTTTTGGGTTCGTCAAACCGTAATATAACTTTTAATGTACCACCTAGTCTTGAAAAACTTTTTTTTCATGACACAAATTTTATATTTACCATACGTAAAATCCATTTGCGGAACAATCATTGCAAAGAGTATCATCTACAGAACAGTATTTTCAATAGTTTGACCGGACCAATGTATGGTATGGAATATGCAGAATATTTAGATTTCTCCGGAAACCTTATGCACAATATATCTCAATTTTTCTTTGAAACATTTCCGAACATTACTTACTTGGACTTATCGAAAAATATATTAGGGAGCTGCATCCATGAAAATGTTGGGTTTGACCACTTTCAAGCACTAAAAAAGCTAAAAGAAATTAAGTTGTCCTACAATGAAATTGCATCCTTACCATCGAATTTCCTCGCAAGTGCTTGGTCTCTTCAGAGAATTGATTTGAGTCATAATCTTATTACAAATTTCACTATCACATTAAACGACAGTACTCCGTTAAAATATCTCGACTTAGCAGCAAATCGATTGCATATACTGTCTCGTGAAACAATGCAGCATTTGCAAAGCATTCATGAACGTAATAACTTAAATGTTTCTCTTTTAGGAAATTTGTTCGATTGCACATGTGAAGCACTAAACTTTTTACAATGGATTAAGGATTCGAAAATCCATTTTATCAAGAAATACCAGTACAAATGTAAAACATCTCACTCCAGAGTACGGAATTTTAATGAGCTAGATAATATATTAAAGGATCTCAAACAGGAGTGTCGTTCTAATATCCCAAGAACAATTGGTATAACAGTTTTTGTAGTCGCCATCTTAACAGTTGGAATTGTGGGTACGCTATTCAAATTTCGGTGGACGGTCCGTTACTTCTACTATCTCACGAAGTGGAAAATTCAAGATATTGTCAACCCTACAAATCAATATAAAAGAGATTACAAATATTCAGCTTTTGTGGCTTATACTGAAAAAGATTCCTTCGTCGAACGGGATTTGGTTCATCATTTAGAAGAAATAGGGGGGTTGAAACTTTGTCTACCAAATCGAGATTTTAGTCCAAATTTGAAAACATATGCCAGTGTAACTTACGCTATTCACAACAGCAAAAAGATCCTCTGTATAGTGACAGGTGATTTCCTGAGGGATTCCTGGTGTATGTATCAGCTACAGATGGCTCTGGAGGATAGAGTTTACAGACAAGATGAAGACTGCATCATCTTCGTCCTTCTTAAAGGACCCTCTTTTGAGGATCTCGGAGGAATTCAGCAATCTTTGTTAGTGATGCCGTTCATTGAGAAGAATTCCTACGCACTCTATCCCCAGAACGAGACAGATCATTCCGCGTTCTGGCAGAAGCTTGTTGATACTATCATGGAGTAACATCTAAAATACTTAAAGGTGCTTGGACACAGATTTGATGTTAATATTTTCTCAAATTTTCTGTATAATTTCATGACTTATATGTTGCTATAGCATTTCATACTAAAATATAATAAAAATCTTATTTCATCTCGAAGTTATTGAAACTTCAAATTTCTGGACGCGTTTGATTGACACATCCTTGCACTTTCACAAATTTTAATTTTATTCTTAATACTTAAGAAAAGTGGCAATTTTGTTGTGTATTAATGAAAAATATTAAAACTATAATCCAGAAAATTCAGAGTAGAAATGTTCGAAAGCAAACCCCACTCACAGTATTGTCAGTCCCTGCTCAGTGGTGTGTGCAGACTTTAACAATTGAACACACCTGGTGAATCGTAAACTTAACAATAACAGAGCTCGTGCCCTGTTTACAAAAACAGTTTACGTTTCACGGGTGTATTCAATTTGTTAAACTCTGTACACAACACTGAGCACGGGCTGACGATATTAGTGAGGGGGTTTGCTTTCGCACATTTCTACTCTGAATTTTCTGGATTATAGATGTAATGTTTTTCATTAATACACAACAAAATCGCTTCTTTTCTTAAATATTAAGGATAAAGATAAAATTTGTGAAAGTGCAAGGATGTGTTAATCAAACGCGTCCAGGAATTCGTAGTTCAAATAATTTCCAGATAAAATAAGTTTTTAATTACATTTTCGTGTGAAATGCTATTGCAATATATAAGTCGAAATATTATACAGAAAATTTGAGAAAATATTAACTTCAAATCTGTGTCTAAGCACCTTTAATGTACTATTCAAACAAAGAATGTTAAGATGAAAAGAATTTGTTAAATCTATCTTTCTTAACTCTTGTTTGTTGTTGAATAATCATAGTTGTATAATTTGTTCTAATTAGAATGATAATACAAGAAAACTGCAAACACAATCTGACAAGTTGTAAAGTCCTATCAATTTAAATTTGAAAAAAAAATTAAGTTACCTTTAAAAAATGTCTTGAAGACTTCCAATGAAACATTTTTGGGAATCATTGAAAAAACATTATGATTTGATTCAAGGAGGGAAAGCCTGAGATACTATACGTGTAAATAAATTGGCGTATTCAGAATTTAGCGCAATCACTTGGAATTGAGCGGTTGGCGCGACTGCGCAGTGTATTGTATTCATAAATGATTTATTAACGGTATTCATGAATTAGTGCATTGTTGTTTGCGCCAAAGCCGCTAAAATATAAAGTCTGCTTTTTAAAGTACACATACAGTAAAGCTAAAATGTTTTTAAGCTAAGCAGCTATATGTTACTAAACGTACGCTTTTTAAAGACAGCTTGCACAAAAGGCGCGTTTAAAGGCTATGTAAGCAATTGTCAGTTGTCCCAAATCATGCAGGTACACTGTATCCCTTGTTTTGTTATACTGTGATGTATACATCGGCTAAAAAAAATCAAACACTGAAAACGTTTCGATTTTAGCGGTAATCCTATTTTGGCACCGCTTCCATATAAAGCTAAAGTATGGTTATAACTAATACATGCCGTAAAATTGTTAAACCTCAAGTGCGCTTATTTATGATTGCGCTAGTCAGTTGAAAAGAGCGATTGCGCTTAGTTAATTTTTGATTGACACATACGTTTACAGTAATAAAGTTTGAGGGTTGATATTTATGTAGAAACACCTTTGCAGAATTATTCCGGTTTAAGGACATACGCAACGTAGTTTGAACTTTATTGTCTTTTTCCCTGGAGTTGAAGAGTTCCAATACTTAAAGGAACTGTGTGCTACATTTTAATGTCTATATATGATATTGTACACTTCTTCTAAAACAAGTTTGGATAAACAAAATATCTAGAATATATGTTTAGTAATTTTTGTATATTTTTCTTTGAATTATACAAGAATTTCCATCAATTGATATCTTTTCAAAACCCCTGGTAACCCATGCTGATTTTTTGTCTACAAACATCTGATGGCACTATAATCTTAAATTAAGAATATCTCGAAAAATTATCAGTAGGTAAGGTACGTTGCGTATGTCCTTAAGTTGGTTTTAGATTTGTATCAGTTGTTTTTGTTTTTGTTTTTTTTTACCATTTTTGTTTCTATTATTTTTATTATTTTTTGTTCGTTCGTTCGCTGTCTTATAAGTGGTGTTTTATTTCTATTTACATTGTTTTTTTCACACAGAAATAATTAAAATTCGCTTGATTTGCCATGTTCATATGTATTTTTATATGTATTTTTAATAGCTGTGTGAACAATTTCTCCTTTCTTTTTTTAAATTTGCTCAACAAAATTCGAAGCATTTCTAATTTTTATTATGAAAACAGTAACATGTTAATTAATGAATTTCCTTGTTTGATTAAAGTGTCCTCACTTACGGATCGAACTTAAAACTATCTTTTGAGATTTTTGAAAACCAGATTGAACCCAACGTATAAAGCTCCTTGTTTAAAGATATATGTATCACCTGGTATATGACATGTATCCTCCGAGTTAACTCGCATTAATACCCTCTAGTATCTATATCGTCCTCCGGGATGAGAAGCTATCGCGTTTAACAAGAAGAATTAAACAAAGATAAAAGTCAGAAGGAGTTTTTATGTGGTACGGATGAGAGGTGTAGAACGTTCTTTATGATTTCCTTCCTCGAATTAAATTCCAGCTGTAATAACTCTACATGCAGGCTTCATATTTCTAAGCTACTCGACAGTATAAACTTAACTAGTACAAGAATATTCTGACTTCTAAGTTTAAAAAATGTGGTGTGTGAATGAAATCGTTATATTTGCGGATAAGGTCTCGGTACAAAAGTTAATATAGCATAACGTGTCCTATTGATATGAGATGTTGATCTAATCCTCTCTATTTAAAAAAATTAGGGTCATCCGGGTCAGGTGACCCATTGCTATCTGTTTTTGTCCGCCATCGTACGTCGACAGACGTTTGTTAACATTGTTTAATCTCTGAAACCGCTGAACCAATTTCAAATTTTAGTATGTAGCATCTTTGGGCAAACGGGGGGGGGGTGCAAAAACTGCGAATTTCATGGTCACTGCTCCCCTGAGGCCTGAAGGACGGGGCTAAAACCATCCAAATTAATGCAATCTTCAAAAATCTTCTTCCTTACTCCTGGAAATTAAGCAGACTAATTGGCATCATGATTATAATGAGCATCGTGCCCTCCGCCAAAAAGTGTGAAAACCATGGACCCTGGATCAGGGGTTCCGGTGATAGGGCGGGGGTCTACTGATCATATATTGAAAATGCATTAATTCTTTGAAAATCTTCTCTGCTCCTGAGTATTTTGTAGACAAACCAAGTGTATTTTCATGATGAGCAAAGGTGCCTCTACCTTAATTGTGAAATTCAAGGCCCCATGGTGTCAGGGGTTCTGGTGTCTGGTTGACGATGTAATGAAAATGCATTAATTCTTTACAAAATTCTTCTTCTGTCCCCCTGAATAATAAGACAGATGAAGTGGATGGATATTATGAGCATGAGTGCCTCTACTTGAATTATGAATTTCATGGCCCCGAGGTCATGGGTTCTGATGCTAGGGCGGGGCTCTATTGATCATGTAATGAAAATGCATCAATTCTTTAAAAATCTTTTTCTCGGCTTCTGCATATTTAGTAGACAAACTAAGTGTTTGGTTATGTTGAGCAAGGATGCCTTTACCTAAATGAAAATGACCCCTGGGAAATGGATTTTTTGTTAGGGCAGGGCTCTATTTATGATATTGTGAAAATGCATATCTCAAAGAAAAAAATAGTTGGCTAATCAGGTACATAGCTATACCGCCACAAACGAAGTTTGTGTGGGGGGGAGGGGTATACAGGAATCACCTTGTCCATATTTCTGTCTGTCTAGCAGACCGCCTGTCCATGCAGTCTTGTCCTGGCCATAACTTTGTAATGGGAAATCATTGAAAGCTCATTATTAGGACAAAGATTGTGTATGACCTGAAGTTTTGTCCTGACATTTATCCAAGCTCATTCCGGAATGTTCAAAGTCACTGGCAGAAAAAAGTATAAAAACATTGTACGGGCTATAACTATGTAATGGAGAATCATAATATTGGAAGCTAAGAAATGGTACAAAGATTTGTCTATGACCTGCGGGTTTGGATTGACCTCGACCCAATGTCATTCCGGCATGTTCAAGGTCACTGAAAAAAGTATAAAATTATTGCCCAGTCTAAATTTTTTTAATGGAGAATCATTGGAAGCTCAAACTTAATACAAAGATTGTTTATGACATAAGAATGTGCCATGGCCTTCACTCAAGGTCATTACGAACACTTCAGGGTCACTGGCAGAAAAACCGTGAAATTCATGACAGGTCTATAGTTTCCTAATGGAGAAACATTGATGTCTATATTTCACTCAAAAAATTACCTATGACAAGAGGATATTTTTTACCAAGGCAATCTCAGCAAATTCAAGATCACATTTACAAAATTGCAAATTGCATTAGGGGTGTTATTTGGTGAGCTCGCTTGTGTACCACTAGTTTTAAGTACCAAAGGTGTTTTGTGAAATTATGATCACTGGGTTAGGGATTCTGATGTTAAGGCAGGGCTCTTTTGAAGGTGTAGGGAAATTTTCATTATACTTTGAGAGAAGTTATTTCCCTTTGATTATTCATCTACAATAATTGACATGGCGTATTATACTCAGGTGACCGTTAAAGTTCTTGGGCCTCTTGTTGCTATGTATATTATCATATATATTATTATATAAACTATTTTGAACTTCACGTAAATTATATTTAAACAATTTTCATTTTTATACCTCCTTAATCCAAGATTCGGGGGTGTATAGTTTTTGCCCTATCCGCCTGTCTGTTTGGGTTTTTTTTCTGTTTGTCCGCAAAAACTTTAACATTGCCCATAACTTTTGATTGGTTGGAGCAATGGCTTTCATATTTCACATGTGTATTCCTTGTGACAAGGCCTTCCTTTTGGTTTCACCATATTATATTGACTTCCTGACCTTGACCTTGGAGTTTAACACTTTTACAAACATTTATCCAACTTTAACCTTGGCCATAACTTTTGAATATTTGGTGCTTTGGCTCACATATTTCACAAGTGTATTCAGTGTGACAAGA